CACAATAAAAACCCTGCTAATTTGAAATTCGGGGCTCTCAATCCTGACCTGCTGCATTGGTGACGGTTGGGAGTCCCTGCTCAAGCTTGAATAAATGACCCTCGTGTGTTTGCATCGGAATCGGCTCCTAAGATAAACAAGACATAATTATTGCCTGGAAGCAACTTAAAATGTCCTTTAGAAAACTTATAGATGAATCACTTTGACAGTACAGTGTCAAAGCCTGTGAAAACAAAAACAGGAGATTAAAGTAATTTAGGTTTCATGGAGGAAGTGACATTTAAGCTCAGTTTTCAAAGTGATGGGATTTAGCCAGGCAAAGGAGCAGGGTAGACTGGGAATGGGGATGGTGGTAGTAATGAGAAACTCTTGCTCTGTGTGACACATGCACTACCAAAAGGAAGTGTGGAGTATGGAGCCCTCACAGGGCTCCCAGAGGCTTGGATAGCAGCGCCATAGGTGATGAGTTTGCTTAGAGCCCAAGGTAGATGGGCCTCAAGAGGTAGAAAAGTTACCACACGGTCAGAGGGGTTTATTCTGAAAACCACAAGGGGCAGTGGAAAGACTTTAAGAAAGGGGGGAATGTGATCATATTTGCTATTTAGAAAGACCGGTCTACCTGCTGTGTATAGCACAGGAAATGGCAGGAGGGAGACAGTTGCAGGAGTCTGAGAGAGAAAGTGATGGCCCAAATCGAGGAAGGTACAGTACAGGTGGAAAAGAGGGGACAGATTGAGAAATAGTGCAGAAAGGAATCAGCGGGACTTGCAAGGCAATTGGAAATGGGAAAAGGGGGAGGAGTCCAGCCAATAAAATACATGCAATATTTGGGACATGCAGATAGTAAAATATTACTCCTTGTTTATCTGAAATGCAAATGTAACCGGAAATCCTGTATTTAATCTAACAACCTTACTTGGGTGGATCATTTGTCAAGCTGGGGACGAGGAAGCACAGCTGTGGGAGAGGAAGCTAAGATGATTTTACTTTGGTTTACACTGACTTTGAGGTGTCTGGGGGATATAGCAGGTTTCTGATTATCCCCCAATACCTTTCTGCCTTGTTCCTTGAGGACAGTTTTAGCTGGTATTTTGTCCTAGGAATGGGAAAGTGATTAATTCAGCTTTCCTAGAGGGAATGAGAAGAATTAAGAACAAGAAAGATAAACGCTATCTTTTTTTTTCTTTTGGCACTTGTTTTTGAGACTGAACCTTAAACTTTATCCTCAAGTCAACAGGGATGTCTCAGGAATGTCAGAAAGATGTCTGAGAGTTTTGTTTTCTCTTCTAAAGTTCTTCCTTCTATATAGCCATGTATTAATATTCTGTGTCACTAAATTCATTTGTTTCACTTGGATTTAATCTCAGCGCTCTCTGGGAAATGGGTGTGTTCCCATGCCCTGTGGGTGTCAGGACCTTTACACATGTCCTGGTGGCTGTGCTAGGATCTGTGCCACAGTCACTTTATATGTGTGTGATTTCACTTACGTGCCTCTGTGCAGGTCAGCACACATATGTATTTGTTCCTTTGTTTCCTGGCCTGTTGATGTGTGACCTGAAGGTATCTTTGTGTGTGTGCCTGAGGGAGGTACTCATTTTTTTTGTCTTAGTTAATGAACAGTTCCCAGCACTACCACATAGAAGTCTCCTGGATCATTTTGGAGACTGTAGAGAGTATTTTTAAAAGATTATTTCAATTGTCTTTTTAAATCCAAAATGTTTGGAGAGAGAGAATCTTGCAAACTTCCCTAGAGGCATTCCCAGCATCTTCTTTTTTTTTTTTTTTTTGGTACCGGAGATCGAACTCAGGACCTTGCGCTTGCGAGGCAGGTGGTGGAACCACTGAGCTAAATCCCTGGCTCCAGCTTCTTTTGTATAAGTCCATAAATTCTCCACAGACACCAAAACATAGCCCAAAACCCGGGTATGGTGGTGCATGCCTGTAATCTGAGCACATGGGAGGCTGAGACAGGAGGCTACAAAACAAGTTCAAGGCCATCCTGGACAACCAGCAAGACTAGCTCAAGAAAACTAAAACACCAAGCAAAACACTGTTTAC